CTCGTCTGTTGGATCCGACCACACTGGCCAGCCTTCACTCCCCACATGCATCAGTTAGCCTTGGATGCCCATGACCCTGTTGCTGGTTCACCACTTTTCCTTCCTTGGACCACTTTTGATAGGTACTGACCACTGCAGACCAGGAACAATTCACAAGAGCTGCAGGTTTGGAGATCCTCTGACCCAGTCGTCTACCAATCACAATTCGGCCCTTGTCAAAGTCGCTCAAATCCTCACGTTGCCCATTTGTCCTGCTTCCAACACATCAACTTAAGGACAAATTGCTACCTAATATATCCCACCCACTGACAGGGACCATGATAACCAGATTATCAGTGTTATTCATTTCAGCTGTCAGTGGTCATAATGTTATGGCTGATCAGCATAAGTTAGCGCATTCCTAATGGAGGGCCAAGCCCAGATAAATGGGGAGAGTTGTGTCAGGCATTAAAAGCATATATCAAAACACTTCTAAAGAAGATAAACCTATGGTGAGCAACCTGAAAAGAAAAACAAAAAACAAAACAGGTTAAAATTGAACCCAGTAATGGTTAATTTCATTCACTATGTTGGGTCAAATGAACAAACATTCTGGTTTAAATGGTAACCCATCACTTGATTCAAACCAACCAGCCCTGTCCAAGAGTTAATTTTTTACTGACTTATTCCTGTATTTATGCCTGTGTACTCCCTGCACAAATACATTCTGAGGCAGTCCAAGGAGTCAAACCATTTTCTGCTCACATTTATACTCTTCCGGCTTTAATTGTCTCATGGCTTTTTGTAGTATTTGTACTAACAGAATTTTTGTAGTTTACTTGCCAGTTTGACTTTCATAAAAACAAAGGTCTTTATACTGCCTCTAAACCCATATTCATCAACAATTTGTCTACTATTGATTTGTCGTCTCTTTCTCTCCCTGGTTTACACCGGCTGAAAATTGACAGGAAATTGCCTTTTAATATGTCATCCACTGGCAGACAGAAATGATGGTGCTGGGATTGTTTCGTGTGGCAAAAGGCTAAGCATTAGTTTAGAGTTCCATTGACAGAAACACAGAGGATGCTCTCTGTATGTGTGTGTGTGTGTTGTTTGGGTGTGTGTGTGTGTGTGTGTGTGTGTGTGTGTGTCATAGGATTGTGAGTAGTGGAGCATGAGAGTGCACTCTGATGACAGATCCATATTTCATGCCTCTTTTATTGTGACCACCTGAGTGCAAGCGTGTGTGTGTGTGTGTGTGTGTGTGTGTGTGTGTGTGCATGCTCATGTTATTGTTTCTGTCATGCCACTCTCCTTCCTTTTTAAGTGCAGCTTACCAGCTCACTATGGCAACGAATAGGGCTCTTCTCTCTGCAGAAGGGCTAATGAGTGTTGTGACAGCACATTGCCAGTCTATTATTATAAACCTTATGCAGGGGAAATGGGATAGTTTCAAAAAGACCCTCTGGTGACCTTAGATGTCCCTTTTTACCCCAGTTTGAGTCAATAGACAATAGATAGAACAAGACAGGTTGCCTATGATTGAAATGCATTACAAATGACAAAATATTACAGTCTAATTGACTAAAGCATCAGAGAAAAACTGATAGTGTGTGATCATTCCACGGTTTCTTTTAGGTAAAGTTGTCAAATCACAAACTTGCAGTTTTCCTTCTAATGAATGCATCATCTTTAGTAGTGACACATCACTTCTTATCCTTGAAAGCAGCTTCTCTTTTCAGCTGGTAAAGTATATATATAAGTATTATAGTACAATGCCTGCTCAGTTACATTTGAAACCGAACAGGCTATATTTCACTATCACTGGTGGGTAGGAGGATGGGTGAGCACTCTTAGACTTTTACATCTCAGGGTGGTGCTCTGTAAGCAGGGAAAGGACAGGAAGTACACTCTGGTAAGTTTGGGATACGTGATTTGATGGATAGGTTGACTGATTGATCCATTCTGTGGGTCCTTAATCTCTTAAAAGTCAAGCTTAATTTTATTCTGCCTTTGCATTTGTTTTGATACAATTGACACAGCAGCCTACTTGAGTGATTTGCGCTTATTGATTGAATAATTTGAACATTTCATTGACTTTTTTGTGGTAATGCCCCCAGATGGCTCAGAGGCCATGCTCCACTTCATTATGTGGCCTCATACAATTCTCATTGTATCAGGCTGACTGGATGATGAGTCACGACACAGTTTCTAAACACAGTGATTTTCCTAATGAGGATGTGAAGGTGTCACAGTGTTCAAATCAAAGGGAATGTCCAATAGCACAAAATGCTTGACTACATTTTCAGCTCTATGTGTTTGTGTGTGTTCTCAAAAGGTTTGGGTGTTATTGTGTGCACACATCAATAGGATCACACACATTACAGGCTAGCATTAAAGTTAATTATATTGCTCATGTTTACAGTCATCTGTCAGACATCTTTCGATTAAGATCATACATGCTCACAAAATCAATATTAGGCACGTTTACATGCACATTAACATACCAATTAACTGAGTCCAGAATTGTAGATTGATATATGATTTGTTTGCCATTCCAACAACAGCAATCAGCAGCAACCACAATTATACAACCACAACTATTGATGTAGACAAGACAGATGTTTGACAAGGGCTTTTCCTTTGCTGAAAAATCAGCATGACCCCTCCCTACTGCCACTGACTGGATATATCCACAGTGGACATCGTCGTTCAGGTCATAAAGCAGCTTTTCTCGAAACATCAAATTCAACTTTCCATCAGAATTAGTTTCCCAATATATTTTAGGCAAGAAAAGGCCATGCAGTCAAGCAATCATGCTTACATTTTTATTTATGCCTAGATTAGGTTGTCCATAAGACAATTTTGAACTGCAGCAGCTCCAGCTTTACTAGCACAGAACAACGGCCCACTTTAAAAAATCAGGTCTTTCTGAAATACTGCTTTTGTACTGTATTAAAGTTCAGGTTTGCTATACAATCCACCACAGTTGAGCATTGCTTTACCTATTCCCTCTATTTCTCCAACAGGGCACAGCCAGTGAAGCAACCCTGATGTCCCTGCTCGCTGCTCGCTGTAAAGCTATCCGACGAGTCCACGCTTCCATCCCTGAAAAATCGGAGGCTGATATCCTCTCCAAACTGGTTGCATACACCTCTGAGCAAGTGAGCACAAAAAAGCAATTTCCAATCACACTTATGTACTGTTTAATGCAGAGGATTATTCTAATTTTACCCACATTTCTGACTTGATCAATGTTTTTAAAGTTAACATGTGAACATTCAGCTGTACGAAACACCTCAAAATTGCTTACAGATACATTAGCTTATTCAATAGCCAGTGTCGTAAAACAAAATACAATACATCAGTGCACTTTCTGCGAATACGTTGACTTCTGTGAATTATCTCAAGCAACAGCAGTCCATGTGAACCCAGGCCATTAAAGGTTGCCTCAATAATAGTGAAAGAGTTTTTCAGTGACTGGGTGAGACAGAGGGTCAGTCAGGCAGCAGCTATCTCTGATCAGGTTTAATACCAGGCTGACTTTGTGATTGAGTTAGGGAGACGCCTGAGGGCCACACAGACCTTTACAGGGAGAGCAGTTGTTTTTGTACTAAAGAGCACTGTTCTTTCTGGTTGTACTATCTATCTGAACCCTATTATATCAAAATGATATTAACATGGACATTATCTCACCATATGAAATCATTCTGTATCCATTAATATAAAACTAGGTGTTGAGACATGTTTATAGTTTTACTAAAAGCAGGTGGGAATTCAACCCTGTGATCTACCAACGCGTTAACACTAAGTTTCTCACAAATGTTGCATTTCTTTCGTCCTAAGGCTCATTCCTCAGTGGAGCGTGCTGCTCTGATTGGAGGAGTGATGATGAGGAAGGTTCCTACAGACAACAGCTATGCTGTCAGAGGGGACATGCTTAAGAAGATTGTGGAGGAGGACAAAGCAGCTGGACTCATCCCTTTCTATGTAAGAAAAGACAAAAAATCTATCCATCCAAATATCACAGAGCTAACACACATAGACAGACACATTCAGCAACATAAGCGACATTAGATAGTGTTAATTTTTACATTGAGTTGCACACAGCCGCCATTGGATTGCTTTGCTACACATGTAAACATTACAACCTATTCAACTGCTAACAGACACAATGATACAATTTGCTTGTGATGCTGGTGTGCACACCCTGAGGCTTCTGTTGAATGATAACATTGTTTCTGGTGAACCTAATGAATGTCTATCTGGTTAAGGACAACAATCTCCGTCTAATCTGGACCCACAGATGACTATCAGTGAGCAATATTCAAGAGGCTGCAATAGTCCAGCAGCTCTGAATCATCTGTGTATATTGAAACTGATATCCAGATCTATGTTTGTTATAGTTGTGCTTGTATATAAACAATATGTTACAGTAGCTGCAATGAATTGTATGTTTGTGTCTTTCAGTTCTGTGCGACTCTTGGCACCACTCCATCATGTGCTTTTGATCACATCACCGAGCTGGGACCCTTATGTGAGTCAACTGTTGCAGCAGCACATATTTAATCTTTTTACTTTAAAGCTGGAAAAGGGTTAAAAAGCCCTGTTGACTTTATTGCCTTTACAACAGACACTTTAATTTAAGAAAATGAAATCACTGCAATTAATAGATAAACGCAAATTTATGACTCTATGTTTAGTAATTCGTTCATCCATCATGGTTGTATACCCCAGGTTATTAAATCTGGATTGACAAAAGTAATTATTTTACTCTCTCTGTTTTTTGTCCATTCCAGGTAATGAGGAAAATATGTGGATGCATATTGATGCAGCATATGCTGGGAGTGCATTTATCTGTCCTGAGTTTAGGCCTTTGCTGAATGGCGTGGAGGTGTGTACAAATATGCAAACACTCATGTTAATACGGTGCATGAGCACTATAATATAGTATAACATATATAAACATATACATATATAACATAGTTATAATATGATGATGATATAATGATTTAGTAATACTGTTTTAGAATATTGGCAAAATGTCTATGAATTGGTCACTCCAAGAACTCTGTGAGAAAAAGGATATGGCAGATTTAATATAGTTTAAGTGTGGTCAAAAACTTGAATTGTGCATCCTCCTCGATGACAAGACAACCTATTTCTGTTCAATTGGCTGTGAAATATCTTTCATAACATCTATGAAAGGAAACACTAACCGCATACTGATTATATCCAGCTGCTTTTTTTTGCTTGAAAATGGCATAACGTTAATGTCAAGGAGGAAGCCTGCAAGAGTGAGAAATAGGCCGAACAATCTGCATTAGTGCAGGAGCATCAATCTGCCTTTTGAGGCTGCCGAGGCAGCTGTTGCTCGCCAAGCTGTGTAGAGACGCAGAGATAAGGACAGAGTAATTTCCTGAGGCAGCATTAGACCTTTATATATCACTGTTTATTAGACACTCAAGTTCAAACAATGTTGGTGGGGAGACAGAGAAAACAGGCTTGACTGCAAAAGGACCAACTGTTGTTTCATCTTTCTTTCTACTTATAGTTAGCTTTACAGTAACAAATTTTGTTCCTCTAATTTCGGAATTTTACATTTTCTAATGTTATGAGTGCAATAGGAATTTGAGAATCATGGTCTTTCTTAGAGAAACAAACTTATTTAAACCACATGCAGTAATACTTAATAGATTACATATACTGTAGTTATAATATATATGTATATGTATATATATATGTATATATATATATAAACATTATGAGATCAATGAAAATTATTGAACGAGGACATGAAGAAGGAAGCCAGTATTTTAGGATGAGAGTGCAGCCTTGCTGGAGGGTTGGTTGCTAGGATATGGGTGATGAGCGTGCAGGCAACCAGCCCCCTTTGAATCAGTCAGCATGGCAACTGTCAGCCAGGAGTCTGTCTCACATTGTCTCTCTGTGTTATTGCATTTGTGCAGTTAGAAAAAAGGATATTAAAAAGATAACCAACAGCAAAAAGATGAGAACCGATTAGGAAGGGTTTGTCTCTCTTTGAATAAAGCCTGCCAGGAAAGGGTTATTTTCCTTGCACTCTGCAAGCTGTTGGCTGGATGTTCCTCTTTTGCATTTCAAATAAATTGTGCCTGCTTTAGTCTAGATAATGCTCTCAGCGGGAGTAATAGTAAATACACATGTATTATGGTGTGTTTGCAAAAACATTTTTTTTCAAATGGTGCTAATGTTACATGAACAATATTAGAACTTTTATGACCAATTATTAAATTTCAGATTTTTAGATTTTTCCCCAAAAAATACAGCTGACATAACATGCGTTAACATAACATTGTGTTCATTTTTGTTATTTCATACCATTCCAGTCAAGCAATGTGGCTTCATTACATTTACACTTGTCTTGTTTCTCTTTTAAGTTTGCAGACTCTTTCAACTTCAACCCACACAAATGGCTTCTAGTCAACTTTGACTGCTCTGCAATGTGGTAAGTTGCCCAGTTCTGCTATAGTAGAGTACAAAACCCAGCAATACTAATACAAGCTACATTGTAGTATGTTGAGATACTGTGTGATACAAAGTCCTGTTTAACAAAAGAAGGAGATTTGTCAATGGTTTTTTTTAGCATCTGGCACCCTTTGTGTTTTCAGTTTGTCAGAATATTTACCAATTTACCTTGGAGTGACTCATGGTCCCCATAAAGTAACAATGAGCAGTTAGTGTCATCACAAAACTGATATCCATCTACACCTCAATCATTTGCACAGTAAAAATAGAAGTACGCCTTCCATCTGCCCCTTCTGTCAGCACCAACCAAACGAGACCTGCTTTGCACAAGATGGAAATGGAGGTGTTTCAAACCTCGACATGTGGTGTAGGGTAGGGGTTCTTAAACCCTTTTTCCATTACCTCTGGCTCAGTCTGTCACTACTGACACGATACCTGTTGCCATTGAAGTATCTTCCTGTTTTAGTTTTCTGGCACATATATTGAGATACACTACAGAATATGTAGACTGTACTGTCTAGTAGAGCATACTCACAATATGATATGACAGTATAGTATATTATAACATACTATAAATATGTATCAAAAGGACCATTATCATCTTTGCCAAAGAAAAAACTGTACTATATGTGTACAGTGTGTGTGTTATTCTAAAAGATTTTTTGTTGGATGATGGTCCAGTGATATTTTGTGTAAAGACTTTCTGCTTGTCAACACCTCAACAGGGTGAAGAAGAGAACAGACATTATTGGAGCCTTCAAGATGGAACCACTTTACCTGAAACACGAAAACCAGGAGTCAGGTAGAGTCATTTCACTTAGATTATTTAAATCACGTCAGTTGAACTGCACAACATAATGACAACAGTAGTATTTGTAACCTCGTTTGCTGTTCACATTGAGAGAAAGCCGGTTACTGTACTCCTTTGAGGCACATTTCCGATTAAATAGTAACTGCTGAAGCATTGCACAAAGTCTTAAAATCAACAGTTTAGTGTAGTCTGAACCACAAAAACACAGCCATGAAGGTGTATGTCTGACAACCAGACAGGAGTGTGTATGTGTGCGTGTGTGTAAATGTTAGCTTCTGTGAGCCAGCTTAAAAAAATTCTATTCTGCATGAAGTTAAGTTGATGTGCTGTATTTGTGACCTGATTTAATTAATACACCCTATTAGCATCACGCATTGTACTTAACTTTTAAAAAATCCCATAATATCCATGTCTGCTACTGCTGTGTGTGCTGGTGTACATGCTCCTAGCCTGCAGATGGGTTCAGATCAGCACTATAATTTGTCTGAAAGACAAGCAGACGGAGAGAAAGACAAACAGCTACCTCCCACCACAATGAGGCACCTTACAAAAGCTTTCGCTCATACAATCTGGAATCTTCAATCTAATTAGAGGTTATTAGCACCAGCTAAAAAGGGCCTCCATTCTGTAGAGCTGTCAGGAGCCAGTGGTCTGTTTGGACTGACGGTAGGGGTGGACACAATGACAGCAACACCTGGACAATGGAACACAGTCCAAACAGCTTTACAATTGATCCTTTTCTGAAGCAATAATGTTCAATGTCAGAAATTGTGTGTTAATTTGTCTTTCTTTATTCTTGTTTTTGTATAATATTTAATTAGGAACGAATGACGAGGCACACTGTAATTGGTTATAGAGGCATTTGGCCACACTACAGGCACACTGATACTGGAAATAGCTTAAAAGAGCTGCATTAACAATGTACACTGACATTTTTAACAGATTCCTGAACTGTTTTTCTTTCAACAGGGCTGGTCACAGATTATAGGGTAAGATTAATTATTATAATTATTATTAAGTTTATTGCAAAAAATAACCCAGGTAAACATCTAACTATAACTGTTCTCTTTCTCTGTCCCTCCTCTGTCTCCTCTGCAGCACTGGCAGATTCCACTGGGAAGAAGATTTCGCTCACTAAAGATGTGGTTTGTTTTCCGTTTGTATGGACTTAAAGGCCTGCAGGCTCATATACGCAAGGTAGGAGACCAACTGAATGCTCCACTTCACTCAGTTTTGTATATCTTTGCCCTTCAAATGTTGGTTAAAACTCTAATAGAAACTAAAAGCAAATAATTTCTGCTTTTAGATCCTTTTTTTATTCCTTACATCCCATAACCCAACATTTTCACAAAGAAATCACCTTTATTTAAAAAAATACAAAACCAGTTATATTATCTGAACACATTTAACACACAGTCCTCCAGATCCAACAAGCATAAGTTAACACAGATACAATTCAATTTATAGGAAGTTATTGATTCATGGCACTTACAGTAGTATATTTTTATTTCTCTAACCAGCAAATAATGGTATTGAGTGGTGTTTGTATACATGCAATGGTTTTAATGAAGCATTACTAGTTAAATTTATACAGCAGTATAGTGTTTTTTGTGCTAAAAGGAGTAATCAGTATTGGTTTTGTCTTTCAAGTTGAGGGAAAATGCTGAATTATTCCACAAAATTTGAGTTAGAAAACAAAAAAGGCCAACCATTTGTTATTAGCAATATCAAGGTGGTAATCCTGTTGCATTATTAACTTAATCCAAACCCTTACTTTCTTGTGGTTTCGTTATAATTGACTAAAAGATTAGCACAATACTCTCAGTGGTCATTTCCCTCTCTATGTCTCATTCCTACTCAATCCTGAGCCTGAAAAGAAAATAAATAAAAAATGACACAATCACCAATGCTTGGTCTTTATGGTAAATGGCATCCCCTTCCTCCCCCCCACACCTCACTCCACCTAATCCTCCTTACCACTAAAGTCCCTTCACTGCCCTCATCTCTGCCTCCATCAGCCTTTCCTGTCAGTCATATATGCCTGGTCTGTATCTTCTGTTTATAGCAACATTTTCCTACAGTGCTCCTCCTTATCCACCCATGCCCGTCCTTTTCCCTTCGGAGTTTCTTCTTGATGCTTCACCCCTGCATGCCTGTCTCTCTCCCTCATATTCCCCTTCCTCCCTCCAGTCTGCTCTGTCAATCAAATAAGCCTGTTTTGTGTTTACTCTCCATTTTAAATGAAGCAGAAGCAGCACTGATCCCTGCAGCCATAACCCATGACACATACTCTACTGTACATCCGTCCTCTAGATTAGATAGAACAGTTTACAGTTGACAGACAATAGGTTCCTTTTTTCTTTGTAAACGCTTAAGAATTATCCCCCATGAGCAAAAGCAGTTGTAAAATGAAGTATTTTAATGACAAATGCATGTAGAGTCCTACGTAGCATAGTGTAATTACAAAAACAGACATCAAGGTCATTACAGTATATTAGCTTGTAAATACCTCTGAGTGATGGTGAATTACAGGCTGGGAATGAGGAAATAACATTGTGGTCAAACAGTTGGTCATTTAGGCCATTGCTCAGCTTCATTAGAGAGACAGGAAAAGGAGTTGAAGTCAGTCCATATAATTGTGATTAGAGTTGGTGATGTATTCATTGGGCTCTTTGATCATAAGTGGATAAATTATGCTGTGGAAGCATGTTTGATCATACAGTGCCATTTTAAAAATGGTACCGCAAGAACATTTGCTGAGAGCAGACTTTGATACAGCTAGAGCCTCCTAGGGAGTGCTTCCCACCAAGATGTGTACTATCCCTTCTTTTAATCAAATATGTTTGATTCAGATGTGTTTACAGATGGTTACATTTAGTCCATAGTAAGGCTATGCTTCTGGGTTTGGGTAGAAAGGTACAGTCTGAACTCAAGGGGGAAAGTCTTCTGAACGATGTGACTGAGCGCACTGTGCCATGTAATGATACAGCACTGCCATCTAGTGAAAATCCTACAAATTACAGATTTTTAGTATATTTGCTTTGACTATTGGCAACATGTCATATGAAAGGCAAAAAAAATAGACATTTTTTTCCAGCAATTCTCCATTGCACTGTATTTGAACTACTATATTTATTATTTGGCATCTATATTTATTATGCCGTGTCTTTAACCCTCTGAGTAAAGATCTCTGCAGACTGATTAAAACAAATTGACATTAAGAGCAGTGCAAGTGTACTTTGATCTACATGCACTGTATATGATTGGTCAATTTTACAAATGTTTTACATTATAATCTGTGTCTTGTCATTATAGCAAGTGGACCTGGCCAAGGAGTTTGAGAGTCTGGTACGGGCAGACAAGAGGTTTGAGATCTGTGCTGAGGTCATCATGGGACTGGTCTGCTTCAGGCTCAAGGTAGCAACATCCAACATTATAGAGCTACATTAACTTGATAAATCCAGTGCGGTACTTTATAAAAAACCCTTATCCTGTTCAACCTAATTCATACCCACTGTAGATAGATCACAATAGAAATAATTAATATATAGTTAAAATATATATATATATATCTTATTGTTTTTATTGGCAATAGAAAGCTAAGGTCTGTAAGTTATACTAATAATATTGAATATGCTGTACCATAAGGTGACATACACAGGATTTTCTATATTGTACTGGTCCAATATTTCTTACACATATAACCTACCTTTCAAAGGGCTAAATAAGCATGTAAAATCCATGTGTATCTCCCTTATCAGGGTATGATTAACAATCATGCTTATTGTTAAACACAGGTGACATTGCAATTCTAAATATAGAATATAGAGCGAATATAGAACCCCCTTAGCAAACATTAGCAACAAAAACATGGTTGTTGTAAACCTAAACAAGTGTATTCCTGCCTTGTCCCCTCTGCTCAGGGCTCCAACGAGCTGAACCAGAACTTGCTGAAAAGGATCACTGAGAGCAGGGAGATCCACCTGGTGCCTTGCCAGCTCTCTGGCCGCTTTGTCCTGCGCTTTGCCATCTGTGCACGCTCTACTGAGTCACGTCACATCCAGCAAGCATGGCGGCACATCACTCAGCTGACCTTTGAGCTTTTGCAGGAGCCCAATCATTGACCAAAAGTCTAGGAAGGAGCTGTCCACTCTGATGCCTAAATGAGGACCAAAGTTAGGACAAAATTTGATTTTCATGTAGCAGATGTAAAATGTCATAAAGGGAATAAACAATGATTTCACAGCTCAATTAGCAGTCAGGTATTTCTGTCTGCAGTTATCCTGTCTAGTAAGCAGGCAATTAATAACTTATAACACAAAAACTCAAATGTCCAAAGGAAAGATACAGGTTCCAAATATTACATTTTCTATCTGCAACTTCTTCTTCCATTGACTTAGCTTTTATCTCGTAGTGTTTAATGAGCATGTTATCGTCCTTATCACAATGCACTCATCCCCATGCAGACTTGTCTTTACTGTTTATGCTGCTTATGTGTCTTCTATATGTAAAATTTGGGCTGGGGTGAATTCAAGATTTGGTTTGGTAGGTTTGGGATGAAGTTCTTGAGTTCTGCATTGAATGTATTGCACATTGTGTGTGTGACAGATTTTTTTTTAGTCCATGTGTGTCTGCTATTTTCTGTGGGTGCTCATACAGAAACATCTTTTTATGTGTATGTGTAGTGACACGCTTTAAGTGAAGGGTTAGAAATGAATGCATTGTAATAGTGTGAGGAGGATGAATTAATCACATCACTTGGGGTCCTTTACAGAGATTTACAGAGGTTAAAGAATTCTAACATTGCTCCTAGTAATCAGGATGAACCTCTTTTATAAGTGCATTAATTTATTTTTGACCTTATTAGAAAAAATAGTTGTATTTAATATAAATAATGGCAGAATTATTATTTTTTACCATAAATCTTATTAATCTGTACAGTGTCTTATGCACAGATGGCCAGTATTACCCAAAACTGTAGCAAAAGACAATCACTGATGATAGAGTTGAAAGAAATTAAAATATAAGTCAATACATTCAATATTCTCTGAGTGCACACTGTCTAACACTGATTCTGTGTGCCAATACAGTAAGGTCATTCAAGTTTACCATTATGTTTATGAGGAATCCAGAATCGTTTATATTTCCAACATATCTCTCATCGTGTATGTTTAACCTTTAGCATCAAGATTTAAGACATATTCTCATGATGAACAAATGTAGTTAAAAAAAGAATAGTGTCCTCTCTGTTGTCCACATGCACAACATGTCTTGTTGCTATGGTTTTTAGCTTGCTAATCCCTCACATTTGTCTGCCAGGAGATATGTAAATCACCAAACCTTGTTGTTAATTCATATGATTGTGTCAGTCAGCTGCTGTTGCTGATCCAGGTGTTTTCTCTTTGGCTTGGTTGTGTGCTGCATGCAATGATATAGGTTTATTTTATTAAAGTGTACTGTGGTCTGCATAGTGTTTGGATGTCATTTCTTTTAAACCTCAAGGATAACAATATATCAGGGTCACAAAGATAATATTTGATTTGTGCACAATCAGACTAGTTTAACAGCAGAAGGGTGAAGCTGAGGAACTATAGGCGACAGCAGTGGTTACCAAAGTGGGTGCCACAACACCCTGGGGTGGATTGAGAATGGGCCCAGGGTGCCTCAATATTTACCATCATTGTTCATTTGTTTCACATTTTAATACTGTTTTACTGTATATTATAGTATAGCCTGAAAGTCCTGATGTGCCTCTACTGCAGTGTACTCAATTGAAGATGACAGGCAAACACACACACACCACCAACCAACATGCTGTGCCACTCAGCCTCCACAGAGCATCCTAATCCCTGAGGACAAAGGCCGGTGTTCTATAAATACAGATGAGGATTCAGTATTAGAGGTTAATTATAATTCCCCTGATTACTGTTCAACAGTAGTGGCCTGATCATTCACTTGCTGAAGTGAAGCTAAATTAAGATCATTCTGAGAGCAACCTTAAGATACAACACCCCACTAGAACACTGCGTTCTCTGAATGCAGCTTACTGTGGGGTTCCGTATAGTCTCTAAGAGGTACAACAGGAGCCAGAGCCTACAGCTACCAGATGCTCCTCTCCTGTGGAACCAGCTTCCAGTTGTGGTTTAGGAGGGCAGACACCCTCTCCCACATTAGAGTAGGCTTAAGAGCGTTCCTCTTTGATAAAAGCTTATAGTTAGGGTTGGATCGGGTGAGTCCTGAACCTCCCTTAGTTATGCTGCTCTAGACCTAGACTATCGGGGGATTTCCCATGATGCACTGTGCTCCTCTCTCTCTCTTTCTGCACTCATTCATGTCCTATTAATGCATGTTACTAACTTCACTTCTTCCCGGAGTTCTCTGTGCTTTCTTGTCTCGCAGGTTTCTCATGGACCTGGTGGAGCCTCCTGCCATGGTCCGCTGCTTGACTGCTATCTGCTAATATCACCTAGTATATTATTGTATTATTATTATTACTACAGATAATATTACTATAACCACTACTATTAGTGTAGTTGTTGCTACTGCTATTGCTGTGCACCTCTGTCGTTTCGTCGTCTTCGTCTGTCTGTCTGTCGTCTTCTCTTCTTCTCTGGCGTTCTCTCTCTCTCACACCGCCCTAACTGGTGCAAAGAACAGACCACCACACCACCTGTCAGAGCCGTCGAGGCGCTCTGGTCGGCCGGAGGGTTTCTGCCGTCTTTAAAAGGAAGTTTTTCCTTGCCGCCGGTCCAATGCTCTTGTCATGTGGGACGGGTTCTGCCGTCCTCGGTAAATGTTCAGCTAAGGAGTCGTCTAGACCTTACTGCTATTGGAAGCGGGTGTCCTGGATGAGTAACCTTCTGTTATAGCATTTGGCGCTGTATACAAATTAAATATTAAATTGTAAGTTTGACAGAAAGCTCGTAGGGAGCAAGGCAACTATAGCAGTTTGTGTATCTGTAAAACATCTACAATCATACAGCGGGTCAAGAAAATGCCAAGTGATATGGCCTGACTGTTCAGACTAAACTGTAATGTGATGGGACACATGGGACATAACAATGCTTTTACAGGGGTCCCAGTTCAAATTCTTACTGTAGTGTACTTGACCTGTAACCTATATGAATAAAATATGTGCTTTTACTTCAGTTATTGAGGGAAATGTCAGTTCTTAAATGCACACAGAGGTATAGCTGCAATGTAGAGGAACTAATTGTTGGTAGATTGCAAATGTAAAAAAAATTTGGTTTATTCCTCTTTCACAAACAAAGAAACAATTCATTTTTTTATCTGTTTATGTATACAATTATTTATTTATCTGTTATCATGGTTATAATTTTTTATTTGTTTTTTTGTGTTTAGTTAAGCTTTGTAAGATTTTCAATATGATATATTGTGTTGCATGAACGCCACTGCCACACAAATCTGCTCCCAGGGATCATTACAGTCTCTAGGGCTGCAGTTACTTAGTTTGCCCACAAGAGGTTACCATTACACATGCTGTCACAATCGAGGCTGTCACAACTTCCATCAACTGACAGCCATGCAGTTGTCATTGGATGACCCACTTTCCAAAAAATGCTCTTGATACTGACACCAACAGATAAACACTACATGACCTGCCCTTGGCATTGCCAGTATGTCTTTGGGTTAAATACACTACTGTGTACTATGTAAAGACACTGTTACTAGGTTTATGTGTTGAGTGTCACTGTTAGTAGATTATAGTAGCCCACCTTCTCCAAGCAATGCAGCTGAAAGCAGATAAACCTTCAGTGCTATCCAACTGATTAGTTATCCTCTTGAACAAACAAAAACAACTGAACTGCTGTCAAATATTTGTGCTCAGGAGTGCAGAACTTATTTGCCTGTGTAAATGTTTGCTCTTGATAATCTGTAAAGAAGTCAGCATGATACAGGATTTATGCTTACCACACTGTAGGCACACATGACCTCACAGCATAGTCATGCATTATATTTGTAGGAACAAGAAGACTGTCATGATTTGTAGTAAGGCTATGCAGTGAAGTCATGTCAGTATTTTCTATCTATTTTAGCATACATGTTTTATGAGCTAATCTTTTATCTTTATCTATACCCTTATGCAGTGCTGACCTGTATATGTATGTGGCTGTTGAATCATGTCTCTGTTCTCACTGCAATCAGTGTTTTTTCAAGCTTCATCATGTCTTTAAGCTCCTTGTTTTGGTTTTTCAGTATTTGTTCACTCTCAACAGCCTCATCAGTGTAGTTTTGGGCCACAACAGGCAGCTCTTTTCAGTGAAATGGGTCTAAAAGCCCACTTCACTCCTACCCAGCACCAAACAGCAGACAAGCAGTTAGCAGTAGCTTGTGATCATAGCGGAACATTAGCAGGAGTCGGTGGAGAGTAAAACAAAGCTACAAGGGAAGTGAATGTTGGTCCCCTCCAGACATGTACTTAGACATATACAAATAGTCTCCTTGGAACAATAATGTGTGTCTGATTGTTTTTTTTTCTGCAAAAAGTATAATATTAACATTAAAATCCTTAAAACAAATTTCAGAATATATGAACAACTGTGCTAATTTTCTTAATTTCTAAAGTTTTCCTGATGGACAAAAGATGTTTCCTACTTCACTGTAAAGTCCATTCTCAGTGTAAGTGCACTGGTGGCTTCAAGTTTCTACATCACACCCCTATAGATTGATGCAGAAATGACTCCTAATACCCAGAACTGAGTTAGCATTTTAGCACATTTGATTCCCTCGGCTCGAAGTTGTCCAAGTGTGCTTTGACGTTTGGATTTGTATGATAAGCTGAAGCCATATGGTATTGCCATCAATAGTTGTATTGATGTTTTTTTGACAGACCACATTCATTGGGCCTATAGATTAACGTAAGCGCTAAATTGAAATTACACAGGCAGAAGACAAACTAATATATTAGCTTAACATTAGTGTTAGCATTAGAAAGTTAGCAAATTGGGGTCATATACATTCCCTCTCTGATTTGTTTTCTTCTGCCTGACCCTAATATTCTGTTATAGTTTTTCAATGGGTTTTTGGTTAGATGCCTGGCATAAGGTACCTGGTTAACCCAAGATTAAAGCTAAATGAGACTACAGAGGTTGTCAAGGACATTAAACTCACTAATCCACCTTTACGGCCTTGATGGAAGTTTAGTTGGTGGTGAAGTTGAAGTCAAGCAATCGAGGTGTAGTGCATTTAGCCTAATGTTAGCTTTTTACTTCTAATGATTGCATTTACCCTTCAAAAAACAGTAAAGTTGTGTTCATTTGTGAAGATTATCTTGCTAAACAAAATGTGTAAGTACCTAAACCTAAAATCCAAATTCAAATGGAAAAACCCCATTGGCTTTTTGTCAAAGGACGACAAGCACGATGCTGAGGGTTGGCCTGCAAAAATATGTCATCACTGCAGCTTTCTATAAACAGAATACAGAACAGCTTTCAACTTTAGCTTTCTAATTTTCAAAACAAGCAATGACTATACGAGCTAAAAGTACTAACATTGTGCTTTAAGCCTAAAAGTGTTGGGCTCTTCACATCCATATTGGACAAAAAATTAAAATCCTTACCAATGCAAGATAATGCATAAGGCATTATTGGAGTCCCACTGTTATACTCTAGTCCAACACATAATGTCAGCTCTGCTGTTTACCGCACTTTACTCAGCAACCTCCATACATCTGTCATTTGAGGTTAGTTGTTGAATGTTTGCCACATAGACGTTTTCACTTGGGAGGCATCAGATGGGAAAACATTACAATCAGTACATAACTGAATCTGATGTCTCAACTGCACTTAATACCTAAGGGATCACGTTACATGGCAGCATTTAATGCCTCGTGTTGAACTGTGCACTGACTGCTGTTACACTAATACTTACAATACTATTAGGATAAGTGTTTCCTTTTTGCTAATTTAATAGTAGTGTGAGTGTTATTTTACAGCTTTAGTATGCAGGAGATACGGGCTTGTGTTACATCTTTCCTTGAGGGTTCTCTCTGTAATATCAGTGGCAGAGGAGAGGGTTTTTCATACTATGTAAAGCATAGGTATCATAAAGACAGTTACGGGGGAGTAGACCCTGACACAGGTTGGAGGGTGAGGCTGGGTTTGAAGTGCACCAACCCACACATTAATGACTTGATGGGACCATTTATATATTTTAATCAGTATGACACAGAAGAATGGTTTAGTATGTATGATGAGTGTACAATGTATATATGTATTTACTTTTCTGATACTGAGATACCACACAGGATACAACATCCTAATACTAATACTGTTTTATCACCAGTATATTAACTTGCACTACATTGCTCCAGTATATTATTAGAGTTTGATTGTACAGCATGATACAGAAGTAAATACATTAAAATAGTATGGCCACAGAATAGGATCAATTTTTATATGCCATAAAAGAATTACAGAATAGATCAAACAAATTACACTGCATTTAT